TGCGTAGTGACGCAAGTGGCAGTGGCTGACGCAAATGAGCTTTCATCATTTCAGTGCACAGGTGACATAGTTTTAGGGCACGCAATTTACTAATTCACCCCAACTTTCTCACCGCAGCACAAGAGACAGCACGACACCAGAATACTGTTCAAGACAGTCGTGAATCCTGACGATAAAGTTAAACTACTGGTTTACACAAGAATAACGTTTGGATGAAACGATTGCCGGCGGTCGTAGAGAGAACTTAAATGCACATAGTCATGAAAAGAAAAACGGATACCTTGCGAACAGCTTGGGAACTAGGAATCTTGGTGAAACATCTTGCGTTCACATCTCAGTTACTTCGGGTGATTTCCAGAATGCTGTGCAAAAACGGTTTCCCCTTAATTGTTGGAATTCTCTGACTCTTACAGGTGTGTTGCCACAAAAAAACACATCTTTCGTATGGTTGTGTGTAGTATCTTTTGCCCTAGCAATGAGTGGTTGTACGAGTTTCAACAACGTCATCATGCGGGTCAACTAATACTGAACGACGAGGGCACAAAACGTGCCCCTGCGCTAAGCGAAGATAATGATCAGCGGCATAATTTTATCTACTACCAGACCCGCTTCCATTTTTGACTTCTGTTCCCAGAGGTGATCCATATAGCGACATTTAAAAATACAGAAAAAGATTAGCTAGTTTTCTTACATATATCACTGCTGGAGAGGAGCTCAAGTCAAATAATAGTAAGGAAAAGAACAATAATATTAATAATAATAATAATCCCATATGAACTATCGGGAATATAGATGGGTGCTAACAGCTCGGTTTCGGGTTTAACTATGTTGTATGCTATTTCCCACACTTACCTCTCGGGAATGAACGACCACACGGAACGGAAATATTTGTTCCATCCTGGCAATGTCTGCTCCAACGCTGATTCACGGTCTAATACAAAGACCTTTCGCCAATGTTGACTGATGCAGTGATCCCCTGTACATCTCTCAGGTTACAGTTTCTTGGAAACGCATTATCACCTCGAACACAAAGCTCTGTCTGATTTTATCATAAGATGATAAAGAAATATCTAACCGTTGCTGTGTGCAAAGCGTCACACGCGGAAAACGATGCGAACCACTGAATAGGTAACCGATTATTCGTCTCATATTCAAACGCACATCGAGGTCAGGTGTAATAGGATCGCTTGTCTTTCAGTTAAGCGTTTGATGAAGAAATTTAAGCTCGATTCGAATGATGAAGATGAGAAGTGTTCTTGTAAGCACACACAAGGTAAATGGGCCACGTGAAGCAAATGAAAATGAAATCACACGGAGAGAAGTCGCTACTAAAAGGAGTAATCTGAAAGAGTTTGTGGTTAGCAGCAAAGAACTAGTCCAATGTTTGCTAGTTGTGTATTGCTGAAAATAGCTCAACAAGGTACTAAAAGATGTCACGGAATTTTTATCCCAACTGAAACAATGATAAGGTATTCTACCGGGGAAAAATAACATCATCCTTTTGGATTCCATTTATTGCAGCCACACGTTTTACAGATTGACACGAGAACACTATCACGCAGATGTAAACCTGACAGTTCCATTTATGCCTGAACGGTGATGGTGTCTAGTTTGCAGCACTCACACTGGTTTTGTGGATTGTGGTTGAACATTTTCTGTATGGATTACAAGTGGTTATGTTTCATGTTTACGTTCCATCTTGAACAATGCTCATATATCTCGATTCACTACCCACATGTGTCACACTCCGTAGCAGTTACACATTGATGAAAATCCGGTAGCCTTGGACATGGTAAAATAGATGCACAGACACATAGATACGGTCATCTCATCCTTGACCTTGAACAATAACTCCCATCCGACACTCTGTGATCGGATTGGATCATTTTCAGGGATTTGCGCAACTTAGAATCTCTCACTCCAAAACGAGACTGCCTGATCACTAGTTCGTAATGTTTGTCATGCTATGGCTCTCACTTGTTATCCACCCGTGTGATCACCATTCATTTGGGTTAGCTGGGTAAGCACCAGGTCCCTTGTTGCGGCTGAAACATCTGACCGATCAATAAATGAACACGATCGATCGACCCGGTTATTGTCCGGCCGACATAGGAGGAGAACATTTTATGAACACGATACTGTTTAAGAGTTGGTAGGGAATCAGACGAGAAGTATCAGTAGAGCAGCAATGCGCCAACCTGGGAAATTTGGATCGGCAAACGCTTAGGCGATGATGACACTGGCCAACGCTTGACTCGACTAAGATACAGGCACCATTTTTCCAAGGGAGTCCGGTACACGGATAATCACTAAACTTTGAAATTATCTTATGTAAGGACTGTAATATGCACTAATTTAGGCCCACGCAAAAGTACATCGTATTTTCCCAACTAGCTGTTTTCGCGTTGAACGATCTTGCTATGCCAGAGATACATCCACCGAGAGCACAATGGTTATGGAAAAATACACAGCAATTTCATTAAAGTTGTTCAATATTTGCCATCCTGTTGCTTGCATGGCAAGATACGGCAAGGATAGTTTTCTGACACTTTCGGAATAGTAGCAATTCGAATACTTTCTCACTGCGCGAAGGTACTCTGTTTAGCTCCTCAATCGTTCTCGTTTTTCGGGAATAAACATTTCACTGTAGATATCCCCAAGGAAAGAAGTCCAAGGTAGACAGATCAGGTGATCCTTTTGTCCTCCTCGACCAATCTATCTGCAGTTTAATTCCCAATCGAGGAAACATGTGGCGATGTACCGTCATGTTGGAACTAAACTGTAGTACCAGCTTCAGTTTGTCTTTCACCGGATGGCAGGTATCACGTTATCATGTAACAGTTGTTCGCATTAGGCACCTTGAACAATGTACTAAGCAAAATTTTTCTTAATTTCCGCGTTTCCGTTAATGAAGTACTACCCGACAACCGTACCATGCATGATATCAGCCCCTACTAAAACCTTGAGATTATGAAGCGATTTTGAGCCAACGAAGTATCTTGCGTTTTCCACTGCCATACGAATAAATTTTTTCACATTTATCTTCCCAGGCCAGGGTGACTGGATCAAACTAAATTTCACTTCGCTCAACGGGACTAATCTCACAACAACAAACAAGCGTGTTTTGGCGACCACTGTAAGAAAATGACTATCAAAGGTAGAAAAAACATTGCAGTATCCGCAGAGTATTGCAAAAGGCATCTGTGTAGAGCAAAAGATGGATTTGTAGCAAAAGCATAAATTGTCAGTTATCGTGGCTTGTCTCTCTTTTGGAAATCAACCATAGTCCTGTTTACATCGGCTATAATCTCCCGAAGTTCACCCGAATTTCGAGCAATAGCCACAATGACATAAGCTATATGATCGATTATGGTCCTAGTGGTCGAGTTGATTATCCGACATTGCATTAGATTGACTACCAGTCAAACGAATCATCTATTCAGACTGCTCTGTCTCTAAATTATGACTGTTAGTTCAATCATGACAGTGGTGACGAGAAAAGCTTATGATCTCCCTCTTCGTCACAATTTTCTACACTCATTTTGGTGTGCTAAACCTGACAGTTTCAGTGATTGCCACTATACAGATTGATAGGTACAGTGAATTTCCTTACTCTCAAAATGTATATGGGGACTATCTAAAACTCTTTGTTTCATGCAAGCGATTATAATAAAGGTTGGTCAGTTTTCCCTGAACTGCGTGTTTTTTTATTAGGCCTGCCCAAACACAGGATAAGCCCATAACGACTGGCAAGTGGAAGCACAAACGAATCAGGAATCTGGAATAACAATCGCAACCAGCATCCAATCTAAGGTAATTATGTCAGTCTCCATTTCATATTTGTGGTGTTAGTCGGTGCGCCACTTTACACATCACAATGTTGATATTGTACCCCGTCTCAATAAACCTTCAACCGTGGCTTCAATCACATGCGTGATTCTTTTCTACCATAGCATCGTATTCGGGTCGCTTTATCGGTTGCTGAACGACTACACCCCTCTTCCCAAATTTGCGTGTTAATTCGCGTGACGGAAATAGCATAACATACAATCTTCAGCTATATTTATTCACCGTTCGTTCTTTCCATATGTGCACAAGAAAAAGCATGAAACGAACCATAGTAGCTATCCCACCTTCCAACCATCGTAATAAAACATGCAATTAACACATTCAACAAAGTTTCATTATTTTTTCAATGTTTCTGTCAATATGCCAGTCTGTGTAAGCATGGATTATTCCGTGCATTCCTCTCTATCTACATACGTAGATTTGTCGGACAAGTAATATGTCGCTGGCACTCCATGTACACACTTCCCATCACAATTACAGCATATTCTTCCCGTCATCCGTTCGCCGGCACATTCATTTATGCAAACCAATTTTTCCGTTTATCACGGTGGCTGTTTGCTTCCTATTTGCGACTACTTACTCCCTCTTGATTTGGACTATTCGAGCTCTTATTCTCGCGCTTTCGATGCGATAAAACATCATTCTGTTCAGTGTCTATCAATTGTGTTCACCTCACATCTCATTGTTTCTATTTAATCGTTTCCTTTTAACAGCGTGCTAAAGACTGCTAAAAATGGTGAGATACATGCTTTCAAATCTCAAATACCATGTGATGCCGGGGAGTCACGACAATACATCAGAAATGGTCGATTCCATGCAGCACATTTGTATAAATACCTCCACTGTACAACAGTGTGTAGAACTTAAAAAAGCGAATTGGGATGAGAATCCTGGTAACAATCATTGTGCTTCAAGCAGCATGGTGTGTGAGAAGCAAAGGTGAGATAGTTCAAGAATAAATAAAAATATTGATCACAAACAAATTTATCGCGACGACAAAAGCACTGTGGAATCATTACATCATTACGATAGAATTATGACGCATGAGAGAATTTAAAATGCCGTAATCAATGAATATTATAAGTAAAGTGGTGAATGCAAAACCCAAACTAAAAAAAAATCACTGAGCACCCTGTCTTTCATATACAGGTTCGCAAGCAAAACATGCGGGCTGTGGGGATCTTGAACTTCAAGTATCCTCATTGAAAAACGGTTGGACTGTCCCGATACCAGAAAATCAATTTACCGACGCTGCCACATGCGACTATGTGTTGACTGCCACAGAAGGGAAGACGATAAAACTGGAGTTTACAGAGTTCAAAGTGAGTCCGATTTCGCAAGTTTATCGAAAATCAATGTACCTATATCTATGAACTAGCGCCCAGCTTTATTCCAACAAGTGCTACACTTTGTGCAATGCATCCGAACGTCTGAATATTGTATCTATTTTGCAGACGCAAGGGAACACCAACGGTTTTAAAACACAATCCTTTGCAATTTGTCGAAATCTAAGTATTTCTTGCTCTCGTCGTTTTATCATATGGCATCAGGTTGGAGAACAGTCGTCAGATTGTCGGGACGATTATGTACAAGTTGGCAACAGCGCGGAGTTCGTCAATGACAACTACAAGAAATGCGGACCGTCTGTGAGTGAGCAGCCACCTGTCTCGAAATCGAACAAATTGTATGTGAAACTTGTCGCGGGGCAAACGAATGCTGCAAAGATCAAATTCGTAGCTACCGTGTCAGAGGGTGAGTCGGACATTTTCTGCTTGCCTTTGTTTCTTGGTTGGTTGGTGACTGCTTCTCTCAGCCATTCGTTTCAAGACATTCGAAAAGGATGTCGCTAATACTTCTTCCGATTTGACGAGTTTCACCTTCGATTGTCTCATTCTCCTAATCAATAATTTATTTCAAAAATGTGTGATTTTGTACTAATCAATTTCACACTTTCATGCGTAAGGTGCCTAAGAACACAAGCTATCCACTCCGTCCCTAACTATATTTTTGCCAGTCCTACTCTACATCCAATTACCATTATGGCCGCTTACACTCGCGCATAAACACTGATCGCAATTAAAATTTGGTCTATATGGGCTCGTATTCTATTTGACAAGATGATCTGAAACAATTTAATTTTAAACCTCACAAGATGATATTTTGCCTAAGTTTTGTCACCGTTGTAGAAGATCTTTCAATTTGATTTTGGTAGATATAATACGTAGATTGGACAGAGCAGGGAACTTCAATTCTGCTCAAAACCTCCAGTGGCTCCTGGTAAGCGACCCTACTTCACGACACTAATATGTAAATAACTGCAATCGTTGATTCCCAATAAACCTCGCGGGTAAGATGGATTGAGAAATACTGCGTTAAAGTAATATGCTCATACCCTGTCACATATTCTTGCGAACATAAATAAATGATGAACTTTCCAGCGCTCAACATATGATTGCTGCAGCACAGCTAGCTACACACGACTTCCTAATAAATACTGCCTAGTGCAATTTTATTCTGTCAACGCTTAGTGAAAAATGTGAAATGAAATGTGTAAGAGTCGGTTTCTCGACTGCAGTGGAGCATTTGAAAGCGTTCATAGAGGTCAGCTTCTTTGAATTCTCGCAGAACATGGAGTGCATCCATCCATCTACCATCCATCTACCACTGCCCTCCTAAATAACTGCTTTTTCGTCCGAAAACAATTTACACGCTTCTGTGGCAGTGCCTTCAGCCTTCCATGCGGAATCAGAAATTCCACAAGGAGACCATTTTGCCTCCTTTCTTTGGTACCACTTAAGTACCATCTGTGCCTAGTTGCAATGACTCTGTGCTGATCAAGTATGCTGACGAAGTCATCATGAGGTCAACCTAAACAACAACTCTATCCCACCCCGTACCTGTGGACTCGGTATCTCATCACTTAACCAGTGGTCTGCTGCACACATACCTTCTATAAACCCACCTATTTGTGCTGATGTTTTGTTTTCCTTCCGTGTGTATAAATCGTGCTCCGATTATCTTTAGACGTGCGAATCACTATCCACTAATGAAACACCCTTAATCTGGGAACATCACTCAGGTACTTCAGTGTTATCCTTAACCATTCCCGCCCTCACTTTATCTGAGCACATCAATACGGTTTTTTCAAAGGTCTAAATGTTTTCGTTTTACCCTACGCCTGAGGCACCTTGTCACTCCCTCTGTTCTGATAAAACAGTTCGTACATATCTGCATTTTACCACAATGGCTCTATGCCTTTTAAGTGATTTTTCCTGTTTTATTAAAAAAGACGTATGTATGATATCCAGATCACTTAGTTATTTATCCATGTGTTGCGGTTTGCCCAGAAATCACACCTGCCATCTTATTGCCTCCTGGCTCACCTATATCTCCAATAAGCTGTCACATCAAATACTGTCAGATCCCGTGTCTCCCTCGTAACCACGTTGTATCTAAATGTATTTCAATCTCCTCTACTCACTCGAAGTACATACCTTTTCAATCTCATACAAGAGCACACCACTCGTCCGTGGTTAATTATCAAGCCCGCTTTTATGCCCACCCGGATCTTATTTCCCGTGATTTGTGCACAACTTTTATTTAACTTCGTAGTCGTAGTGTATTGTGATATGTTGAAGTTTTAGTGAGTTATATACAAGCTTTTAGCCAAAAAGTGGCAAAAGAGGAAAAACGTAGAACATCAAGCGTGCAAAAATGTGGATTTTATACCAAATGCCTCTGAAAGGTCAGACCGAGTACTCTCCTTGTCGATTAATGTCCAGAGCAGATTGAGTATCAGGGATTTTCTGTAGCAGATACCGGGATGAGATGAGAATGTATTTGAAACAAGTGGACGGTTGAAATTTGCATGCCCTGAGGTCACGGTGCAAAGGATAGGTGGAATCGGATTGAATCTTGTGAGCAAATTCCAAGCACTCATCAAAAGGAACCTCACTGATATGATTTATCAGGAGAGATACCGGAACTTGGGAAACACGGCTGTTTATTTAGAGGCTATGCCTCAGCATCTCGAAGTCAGCCTTCTACAAAAAGAGGAGATCACATGGAAGTATTAAATGGATATAGAGAGAACACATCGTTGAACAAAAGCTCCCGTTACCGACACGTCCGAATAGAAGTGACAAACTTTGCTTGGCTGAATAGAGAGAATTTAAAGTTTTCGAGCAACCTTTTGGGTACGTCAAGACCATCGAAGATTATTTTAACGTGTGACGCTTAAGTACTTCACATGGTTGACCCTGCTCATCGGCTATCCGTGAATCTGTACATTGTCGGCGGGAGATGAGGGAACGATACTAAGTAGGAATACTTTCAAAGTACTTTTCGCGATTGAGATTGGATAAAGTGTAATACGTAACGAGATGGGATGAATTAGTGCTAAATGCTGTCAGTTCTTTTCGGTCAAATAAGGAAAGAGAATTGGTGAAATCATCGGTATGATTAAAATGTCGTAGAAGGGTAGTAATAGGTAAAGCTTCGATTTAAGTATCAAAGAGAGAGAGAGAATATTGTGATAGCACCTAAAGTACATCCGAACTATTGAATGAAGCCATTGACTGCTTTTTTCACAATTTAAAATGCTGATATCTTTGCGAAAAGTAAACGCGAGGCCATCTGTGAAGAGAAATGGGACGAACAAACGATTTTAGCAAGTAGAGCAAAAGAGAAGGGGCCACCGAGTCAATAGCGGAAGAACAATCAAGAGATGAACAGTGCACATATTTGGCTTTCGCGTTTAGGGATTTGCAGATGAAGTGAACTAGGGAAGAAAGGGCATCCGGTGTAGAGTGGTTATGCTTGTATGCAAACTGATAAAAGACATCGGGAATGGTCGGGATAGCTGTAGGCGATGTAGAATCGAGCGCTCCATCAATTTAACAACAGAGCAATAGGCCTCACACGTTTCGCAATTGGAGTCGTCTGTTTCGTTTCTTCGGGGGTGGGTGTAATTCTCACCAGACGCCAGCACTCCGGGACGCTTTGGCATTCCGTTGTGGGATTAGCTGTGTGCAAGAATGTGAGACAAAGGCTCAGCACCGTGTTCAAGGTGTTGATATTCTACCATGTTTACGGAAAAAAAGTTATCACAGAACAGCAAACGTCAAAAACACACGGTTTGACATGTCTGTCGGAAAGGTCATATTGGACTACCACGTTGTCTAGAGGAAACAGTCGGCAACTACTTTGGGAAGGAACAATTTTGTCCGGAAAAAGGTCTCACTGGTGGAACACGATGTGTTTAGGTTGCGTAAAGGAAAATTTTCCTGGGTGTGAGTGAATCATGTCTGACCAGGATCAGGTTATGATCACTGGTACCTGAGGTGGAAAAACGTTCGGTAGAAGATTTGTCATCGTGATTAGGTGATCCAGAAGTGAGCACCCTCTTGTGGATTTCTATAATAAGTTCACCGAGATTTAAGCAGAGTACAGGATGTGTGCTTCAAGCCACTGACAATCAAATGTAAATGTCTGTAAGATGTGGGGTGATAACCGGTAGGAAATGATAACCTACCATGGGGATATGAAGAAAGTGGGGAAATGTGAGTGACAGACGACGGTCAAGTAATCCATGTTTTTTTTGAATATTTGAAAATTACTTTGGACCTGCCACATATCTTGGAGTTGATGTAGATAATCATGTAGGTAATCATAGCGTTTATCAGTTCCTGTCTGCACCGTTGTCTGTCCTGTCTGAAGCAGACGAAAGCATGCGGTTTAGCCACGAAGGCATCCACATAATCACTGGGTCATGACTGCAGTGGAAAAAAGACAAACGAAGTGCGAGATAAATGTGGAAGCTCCCGGGACAAATAAAAATGATTGTTACTAACAATTGCAGGTACAGTCCTCTCATTGCAACGAAGGACTGTTTAACAACCGGCACGAGTGCGTTCTCCGCGATTTTAGTATTTCTGTGCTTCACTAGTGACTGGCACTCCAAACAACGTAGCATCACAGCATGCTTAAATTTCAACATGAATACCTTTATCTATATGGGAAAGTGCAAAAATCGAGTAATTCGGTCAGTAAATTCCAGAATGCAACGATAGGGACAAATTTGAACCCAGCAGTTCAAAAGGTGCGTGACTAGTTTATCGTGTAATGACTCATCACTCGGTGTCCTCTGTTGGGTATTTGACAGTTGAATATGCACTCAGGTTGTGATAAAAATAACTCAACTTGTCTGGATTAACCAGGTTAATCCTAGTGTTTAATTGGACATTTGATGTATATCATTTAGTCGCGGCGGAAACTGGTCGAGATGCGAATTGTGGGGATCCGGAATTCGATGTCTCCACGTTGAAGAACGGTTGGACTGTCCCGATAACAAACAAACCATTCACCGGTGCTGCCACATGCGACTACGTGCTTACTGCTGCAGAAGGAAAACAGGTGAAACTCGAGTTTACAGAGTTCAAAGTGAGTCCAATTTCATAAATACATCACATCTCATAATCTATCGGTATACATGATTACTCTCATCCAGTTGTATTCACTGATATACCCCACGACATTGCTGAAACCCCTAGATTTTACCGAATTTTCTACTCACTCTTTTTATACGATAGAATGCATCTGAATTGTGTTCGATTCCGTGACGTTCGTATGTCTATTCTGTTTTGTCTTCTGACACGTCATACAATTTTTTCCAACCTAACATAGCTTTGTCAAATCGGACTCTAATCTTTTACTTAGTATCTCGTCAAGCATTGAGCTGTCATTCATTTCATCTTTTTAGATCGCAATAAGTTTCTCATTTGTCAAATGAAAGGTAGTTACTTCAAATATTATTATTACTATTTGTTGGAAACGAATTCATTTCTCGTCTGACCAGGTTGGACCGGAGACGGAAACGTGTACTGAAGATTATGTACAAGTTGGTAATAGTGCGGATTTCGCCAATGACAACTACAAGAAATGCGGACCGTCTGTGAGTGAGCAGCCACCTGTCTCGAAATCGAACAAATTGTATGTGAAACTTGTCGCGGGGCAAACGAATGCTGCAAAGATCAAATTCGTTGCCTCTGTGACAGAAGGTTCGTTAGATGCCGTTGACTTCGTAAGCATCTATTTTAGTCAATCTATTTGTTGTTGGTAATTGACGCTTTTTAATATTTGTGTGTGTGTTGTTATTGTACTGCATCGGATGTATCACCTTACTCCCTTTTGAACGTACTTCATCGAGTCTCTAGTATTTACTATACAAAATTTCTACAAAAAGTCTCTATCGTCAAAGGCTGGCAAAAGTATACATTGAAATATCGAGCACGCCGATGTTTGAATTACCTATCGAAAGCACTAGAAAATTCATAACAAACATTCGCCTTCTCATTCAGTGTAAGGATGTGAATGTGTGCTAATGCATGTATGTATGTATGTATGTATGTATGCATGTAATAGGTACGTGTGTATGTATGTATGCGTATATGAGTATCTGTAATCATGCCCGTATGTTTGTATGTATGTATGCATAAATTTATGATTGTATGCATTTCTTTTATATATGTATGTATGTATATATGCATGTATGTATGTCCGTCCTGCGTATGTATCTCTGGTCGGTTGCACTCATGCATCAGGCACGGCATGAGCAAATAAACGCATAAAACTACTCAAATTCATTCTATTTCGAATGCCGTCTTGTGCCTCTATTTGTGCCATACACACATCTTGCCGTATAACCGCATTCACCAGTGTCGAATACCGCATCAGCAGAATAATCTACGCAAAATGCTGCATTTCAATTCCAACATTCAGTCACCACGGAAACTACTCGCGATCCCGGTTGTGGGGATTCCCAACTGGAAGTCTCCTCGTTAAAAAACGGTTGGACTGTCCCGATACCAGAAAATCAATTTACCGACGCTGCCACATGCGACTATGTGTTGACTGCCACAGAAGGGAAGACGATAAAACTGGAGTTTACAGAGTTCAAAGTGAGTCCGATTTCGCAAGTTTATCGAAAATCAATGTACCTATATCTATGAACTAGCTTTATTCCATCAAATGCTACACTTTGTGCAATGCATCCGATCATATGAATGCTCTTAGTATTTTACAGACCAAACAGAAGACCAATAGTTTTAAAACGTAATCATTTACAATTCATTGAGATGGAATCCTTTCCTGCCCTCTTCGTTCTACCACTTGGCATCAGGTCGGAGCACAGTCGTCAGATTGTCGGGACGATTATGTACAAGTTGGCAACAGCGCGGAGTTCGTCAATGACAACTACAAGAAATGCGGACCGTCTGTGAGTGAGCAGCCACCTGTCTCGAAATCGAACAAATTGTATGTGAAACTTGTCGCGGGGCAAACGAATGCTGCAAAGATCAAATTCGTAGCTACCGTGACAGAAGGTGAGATGCACATTGTTCAGCTTTCTTAGACTTGTTTTCTTGTAAATTCGCTTTTACCTGTTTGTTTGTTATACGTAGTTTTGTTTGCCGATATTGTTTTAACTTCATCTTTCCGCAATCGACTTTTGCCTATTCAGATGCTGTTGATCGTCGCTACATATGTGGTCTGACAACCATCTTGCTTTCGTTGAGCACGATATTCTGTGAGTTCCCTTCTAAATAGTCCTTTATTTCTATGGTGACATTATTTCATCGTGTAGTTATAAAGATAGACTGTTTAAAGCCTGTGCATACACACAGACGTTCGTTCCCATTCCTGTCTACGTGAAGCCTTGAGCAGTCCGTCCGATGAGGAGTGCCTTGACGGATAACCCGTAACAGAATTGTTTGCAATCATGTTGTGCTTATTATTCTTGTACTGCATTTCCGTTCAAAATCCCTCGGAGCCCTTGCTTTTATTTACCGACATTCATGTTGATCTGACAAATCTGTTGTCATTTGTGATGTTCACTTTCCATTGAGGAGAGTTCATTGTATATCATGCAGTGGGTTATCATCCACCCCTTTGTATCATCAGTTTCGATCAAATGAATGGAATTCCGGGGTGGACGGTTTTCGACTGCATCGACAGGGTGACGATTGCGAGAGATGAACTAGATTTATAATTTCACATAAATGCACATATGCGTGTATGTATATCGCTATATAACCACACTGTTCCCCTTTTCTCTTCAGTCAATACACACAATTAGATTGGTTCGGGCCCCACTGTCTTCCACGGCGGTCAAATAGTTTCTTACCTCATCACTTGCACCCGTGGTCTTTATGTTGAAAAAGCGAAAATACTAAATATATATTGATGCATGTTGAGAATAAAAACCATTCTATGCACTCCTTTCTCTGTTCTTGTTTTGCATTAGAGCAAAGAACATACGAGCAAGCCGCAGACATTGTCAAACGTGGAAATGCAGCGAATTTGTACTGGACATCCATTGAGCAGTATTTCTGTGTTATCTTTTGTTTTGAACAGTTCACTAGTTGGAACACTACCGTGTACCGTTTCTCTAAAGTGTCCCACTCCCAAGAACATTAGGTTGTTTTCTAGTCCCGTGAGCAGGTCGATCCGAGGTTTTCGCGCATGGAGTCGATTATCGATTACAGAACGCTATTTCTTTCACAGTTTGTACAATGCCCACTCACTATGTCATCGAAATGCAAGAATAAATTAGCTTCATCTCTCAGATCCATATAGAGTTGGATGTAAAACTGGAAGAAGGGATCAGTTAGATGGTAAGCGTATCATAACGGTATTCCTATTCGAGCAACAAGAAATGCAATTAGAACTAACCACCGATTGTTTAGCACGGATTGAGTGAACAACAAGACGAGAGGAAGATACAGTTGAGTGAATCGGTTGATATGTGTCAATACCATGTTCCATTAAACTAAAATTGAATTTACATGGGCATAGAAAGAGAAGTCGTTTCAGCTTATCTACGGGTAGTTCAAAAGATTTTCTCGGATTTTCTATACAACTGCCAATCAATTCGATGTTCTCTTGGAGCGGTACATTGATATATAATGAAGTAACATCCAGCGAGAAAATCTGCTTCTTGGCTAATTTGATAGATGCAATATGACTGACGAAATGAAGGAAGTCTCCCCGACTGAACTTGTCGATATATCTTGTGAACCACTGGGGCAGATTGGCTGGCCACTTTGGCATGGCCATAGAACGTAGAATTACTCATATTAAAAATGGGACGGAGTGGTACTCTATCCTTGTAGATCTGATGTAGTCCGTGTAGCCGCGGTATGGTGTTCTCGACAGGTCAATGCGTGGGAGTGCGTTGCGGACCAGCTAGATTTCATTCTAATCAAGGTTTGCAATCTATCACTCTAACGAGGCCAACGTCAATTAGCGGGAGAATGATGAAACTTCATGGAAGAGGAAAAATCATCCACCAGGATGAGGCGATCAAAATGAAGAACATGTAAATGTATATGCGGTTGGATGCTGTAACACGTACCATCAGGTCTTATAGCAATCAGATAATGATATAACGGGAAACGAAAGGTCTTGAGACCTCAGACAGACAGAGTTTCGACCAAATCAGTGGAAGCTAGGAAGCATATCAACTAAATAAACCGACATGCACATGGACTGAGTGATATGGCTCAAGCCTGAAACACATTATTCTCGCATATTTAATATCAAATGACATCTCTTCGACACAAGTCTAATAATTGAGTCTGCATGCTGACGAAATCTCACCTCTTCTGTTATCGATCAAACCATCTGATCCATCTTGTCCCAGCGGAAGTCAATTCGTTGCACTTCGCCATGGATGACTAAACATTTTCACATTTTTGTCCAATTCATTTGACCTATCCATAAATTTTGGCACATATCCCGACTAATGAAAACCTCCTCAATGACAATTCGGCATAAGGAGGATCTAATCAACAGATATTGCTTTGTTATCACACTGCAATACTTACCCGAATCATGAGGAAGCTAATGAAAAATGCTCGAGAATAATCAATTGAAATGCAGTAGTAATACTAGTCTTTATAAATATAATCAGTTTGCATAACTGATTCAAACCGCGAGTGGCATCAACTGCTAGAAGTGTTCGACTCTGCATACAAGGCCATGAAATTTACGGAGGCGGTAGAAGCAGATGACCAAATACCGTTTCAATGTGTACCTCTTATTAGAAGACTTGATGGCTCTATAAGAGGCCATGTTTACCGCACGAAAACTTGAAGTGAACAATGCACGAGTTTGTACAGTTTGGTAGCGAATAATCTGAAGAGAAACCTGCTAAGATGTTTTGCATCTATAGCTCGGAGAATCTGCTAACACTAATTATTGGAAGAGGAACTCAACATGCTTGGAAGCAATGGCTACTCTGACCGTTTCATGGAACGAAATATAATGAAACAGGTACCGAACATATGCCCTAATTGGAAGGAATAGAAGGATGTATTCTGTAGTCATCCTTTCATGTGATTTGAAGCACAGTTTCCCTGTAAGGAATTTGAATAAAGCAACCAAAAACACAGGTTTGCACAATGCATTCTGGATCATTTCACTGCATCTGTAGACGTGCATACCGCATCTATGTGATCATTAGTAAATAACATAATCATAAACAGAGAAAGGTTGCGGTCAAAATTACTCACCAAACAGACTTGTTACCAAGGTAGCGCCAGAGTGATAAGCCATTCACGCTGTTTACACAGTTTGGGATGGTAATTTAGAATGGCTAGTGTCTCGGCATATTTCAGAATGTTGGTGTTGTTTGTGTTGTAGAGGATTCCGAACGCGTCGTGCAGCACGACACTGTTTCAGTTCGACCAGGTGTTGTGTGGTCGGCGAACTGAGTTTCTGACGCGTCATTGGTGGCCTCATACTTCCGAAGTTCCCACTTATTGTTTTCGGAAGCCAGACCGGGATGTACTCGGTAACGCGGTTGTCTCTCCGTTCTGCCAATGTTGATGGCCGAGCATCCACACTTGAACTGATAAATACAATTAGATTTGGCGTGGGGAGACAGCAGTTAGTTCACCGATGGTATTGGTAACCGAGCGGTTGTAAAAGCAACGATGGGGGAGCTGCGTAGTAGGTGCGCTTAACGGCTGATTTTAGGCGCTTAGTAATCAGGTAGCTGATATCGTCAACTGTGAAGGGTAGTTTCAGGACCACTGTCATCTTATCTGCACCTGGCGTCTTTTTGCGAGTACGCTTGGGTTGGGAGTGCAACAAGATCAACCCTTTCGAATGTCCGTTAGAGTGTAAAACTTTTCTGATTTCGTCATATTCCTTATCCAATGTATCCATTGTGCAAATCAGCCGCGCCCTGTAGGAGAGCGTCCAAACTGAACCAATCTTATATCCCATTGGAGCGAAGCTAATAAAATTCAGATGTTTTCCGGACCATGTATCCTTCCGGCACACAGATCTTCCGATTGATCCATCGGTTCGGCGTGAAACCTCCACATTCAAAAAGGCGATGTTGTCTTGGGTATCAGTGTGGCGTGTCAAGGTTATGTTCGGGTGAAGATTTGTATTTGTATTTGTGTAACTTTTGTAAGCTGAGAAATGCTTACATTTCGGTTCAAAATTGTACACTGGTCGTAACATCGGAGAAAATATAGAAGTATAAACAAATTCAATAGAGTGTTATGTAAAAACAATAAATGTCTCTAATGTTGGATTCATTCAATTTAGGATTGACGTAATTCATTTATATCTCGGTCCTTGTTGGTCAAGATGCGAGCCAAATACGGTACAGTGTAGTTTTTATAAATGTTTATTTGGAAGGGTAGGGGTATCGATAAGAGGAACGAGTGACCATTGGCAGCGACAAGAAGATAAGTCAAAATGCAAAGAATGGGAGGTGTCGTTTATAATCTTATTGGCAAAGGTCATGCAAGACTTCATATGACCATCAATAAGCTCTATAAATACTTACTCGCCAGAAATTATAGATGCACGGCTTATTATCAATAATCCACGACGGACAGTTTTGAAGTCTTGTTTCAATAAACCGGGAAATAATACAGGGGAGCAGTAAAGTAAAATAGGGAAAACGCATTGTTTAACAAAAGAGAACAAAACTTGTTGTGAAGTGCGAAATTGTCTGAACTTTCGGAGCTGAAGTTTTACCATGCAGTTCTGAATGTGTGCCGACCACCCAAGATTATTATCGATAGTAACACCCAGATATTTGGTTTAAATCCCTCTAGACCAAGATTACCATTAAGGGTTACAGAGTCTGACAGGAATGTAGAGCGGGAAGGACTACAAATGCATTCCAAGCACTTAGATATGTTAAGAATAAGGCCAGGCTAGTTTGAAAACTATTCGATTTGGGATAGATTTTCCGTGAAGGAAGAAAATTCCGAAGACGAAGAAACGGTCTGACATAAAGCAACATTGTTAGCATACTTTTATATATGAACANCAGCACCTTGAAGCACACCAGAATTATTGACTAGAGGACTTGGGGTATTCCTGCCCAGCTTTGTGCACTGGGTGCTTTCGGTAAAATAAACAGAAAGCCATGAAACCAGCCGTCTCGAGGTGCCAAACAAATCAAGCTTAAAAAAGAGGAATGACCGGGATACAGAATCAAAAGCAGACAAATAATTGAGCAAAACA